ACTTCAGTACAAGCAGTTTAAAATGTTTCACTCCAGTATTGATAGTACTGGTAACATGTATTTCTTAATATGGCTGTTCAGTTCCAAAATTCAACACTGTGACTTGCGACAGAGAAGTTCACAGTGTTGTCTGTCCTTTCTCCCTACTTGCATGTTCCCGACTTTCTTTTGCACCAAAGCAGATACTTCTCTGATACTGCAGAGAGATGCTTAAAATTTATTTAATTAATTAATTATCACTAAGCAAGCAAATAGAAGTGAATGATTTTTCACATGTTTCCATGGTGGGACACTGACAGTGATGATTTTTATTGGTTTAAACAGTCATGGAGCTATTACTGTTATACAGTGATAAATCCATTCGTAACAAAATGATGGGATCATATATTAACTATCTTACCTGTTTATAATTTTTTTGGGTGGACTATCAAAATGTACAGAAGTAAACGAAATGCTGTATTTTCTCATTTTTCAGTCATTTGATTTGTTAGAAATTAATGAAGAGCGATGGGACGTTTTTTAATATTTTTGTTTTGAAAATGAGTATAGTAAAATTTTGTGTGTTCAAAAATTTGTTTAGGGGGAAGATCTTACTTAAATACAACAGCATTATTTTAATTGTTTTTAATAAAATTATACCATTCCATCTCTACTTGAAAGTAGATATTTATGCATGCAGAGGGATTTTAAACTGACAGACTTGCACTTTACAATTTTGGTTAACTCACTGAAACCACATTTTTTTCAATGGTTCTGTAGTTGTGCCAGTAACATTCAGCATACATTTTGCTCTCAGAAGACTTGAAATCTATGCTTAGGCTGATAATTCAGCAGGCTCTGTCCTTGGTTCTTATAAGTATTTCCTTTGAAAGCTGATGTCAGGGCCCTGAGCACATCAACAGCCCCCTGAACCCCTCCTTGCAGGGTTGAGCTGCCTGTGCTCAAGGTTGATGTAGCACAGCTGTGCAACCTTGGCTCGGATTGTTGAGGAAGGAGCTGTGTGAAAGACACGAGGAGAGCCCTGTTGACCTCTTTGCTTGATGCTGTACTTAAGCTCAGGCCACGCCCTTGGTCCTTGCCTTAGCCGTGTTGCAGCAATGCTTGCGCCTGGCAGCATACTTCTCTGACCTAGATCCTCACCCTTGGACTGGACATCCTGGCTTGATCTGAGGTCTTCTTCATGACCGTTGACTTGCTTGGTGATCGTTGTGACTGACTTGGCTGCCATCGCTTGATCTGATCCTGACCCTGCTGTGCTGACTGGACTTCCTGGCTTGACCTCAAACCTTCCTCATCACTATGGGCTTGTCTGACTGAACCTAGCTGCTGTCAGGAGACTTACCCAACTTATCTTTCTCTGGGTACTGTGGGGCTCTACCACTTGCTGGGGAGGGCACTGCCGCTTCCCACCTTGTTTCTATACTTGGCACCTGCCTCACTTTCTGTTATGGAGCAGTGTGCCGTTGCTGGTCCCTGGCAGCTGGTGGGTCTTCAGTTCTCACTGTTCGCCTTCTAAAAGTCTTGAGAAAGTTGATATTTTGATATTAGTTCTTCATAATAAGTTTTGATCCCTTTGATACTAAAAATCAGACTTTCCAAGTCCTACAAGAGATGTAGTCATGCACCACTGCCTGCCTGGTATAGTTTGATCCTGAGGAAGAGATCTTTCTTGATCTTAAAATATGCACGCTGGTCAGACTTTTTCAGCATTCTGCAATAAAGCTGGCTTCATCTGTTAACAGCTTTTCCAACATTTTATTGCTTCCCAATGCACTACCTCAGAAATTATGATGTGAGCTACTGGAGCAGGATTGTTTATGTATCACAAAGATAAACATCCCAAAGTTCAGCAACTGTTGACCTATGGAGAATGCAGAGAAATGGTCTGGTTGAGATCATCTGTAATTTTTTTGTTTCAGTTCTAAGTACAAAGAATCATTATGCTGAGTCAGACCTCAACACTGCTAGACAGCAGAGAAGTTCAAGTGCAAGGTATTTTGCTTTACTAAAGAAAAGGAAGATGTAGTCTACTGACTGTCACAATTTAGGGTGCAAATTAATAGACACATATATACGAAAAGAGTGCAATATTAGCAGTGCTGTCAAAGGTGAGTGATTTACAAGGCTATTATGGTTAAACTGCATCCTATATAGGGGAGAGGCTGAAAAGTTTAGTTGAGTGTCACATTTAGCGTAAGAGCAACAGAACCTGCATGCTTGGGAGAAGAGTGCACTCTCATGTGAGATCATAGGACACTGCCCCAAGTGCTCTCCGTCATAAGTCCTTAACTTATATTCTTCTTTTATGATAAGTGAGGGCTTAAATAGCAAGATGGAGATTTTCTAGAATAGTTGGATCCGAACACCATTTTGCATTTCTGGTAGTCAGTAGCAAGCAGGATGCAGATATGTTGCCTTTCCCAGAAGCAGAACCCAAATGTGCGGCCTTGTGCTTGTGGATATTAGTTTCAATCTCCATTCTCAATGACCCTGGAATTTAACTTTCCTCTTCCTAAGATAGCATAAAGTACCTTGTTGCTCCTTCACAGATAGTCTTTAACTTTTGCTGTTACTGGTTCTTTTAGTTTTTCAGAATGTGTAAGTCAAGTAGAGGAACTGCATTCTGGACTACATAGTGTTGTTTGAGAAAGATTCCAATTGTATTAAAAGCATTTCACTTCCAGTACTGTAAATGGAACTACTGAAATGATTCTTCAGTTTCAGAAGGCAGTAGAGTTCAACATACAATAACTCAATGCTGACTTGACTAAGTCAAAGGATATATGTTGACTAGTGGCATGATATAGGAATGACACTTGCTTCTAGTTTGCTTTTCCAGTAAAAGATGTGTGCTTGGTCCGTAGTTGAACACTGGGATAATTATTCATAGGTAAGTGACAGATCATAATGAGTATTTAGCTGCTAATTACTTTTGTTTATATTATTGTTAATAACTTAAAATAAGTTTTACATTTTTTTCTTTTTAAGAATGATCAAAACCAGAAATTTCCTCTGTTACCCCAGTACACAGCTAGGTTGGACATTTATGGTGTGTGAACTTAGAGCAGTAACACTTGGCAGTCATGATCGGTGTGAGGTTATCTGCAGTAGTTTGCACTTAGGGAAAGTAAAGCTGGTTGTCCTGAACGGTCTGGCAATTGCTCCTTCACAGAGGGGTTAGGTGCCTGAATTCCTTGGCTCTTACCATGATGGAGGAGCTTGTATAGAACTGTAAATAATTTAGGTTAGAACAGACCTCTGAAAGTCCAAAGGACCAATCCCATACTCTGGGTCCACTGTAGAGATAGATGAGACTGGCCGTGTAGACACGGAGTGTCTAACAACTGATGCGCATTAATGTTTGGGAGTTTGAGTATTTCTTGAGGCTGTAGGCATTCTCATCAAATATACCTCAAATAGTTCCTAAGGCAGATGGATCTTATATGGAACCATGTCAGGAAAACAATAGGAAGTAGAGCCAGAACTTACTAGTTTTGTGATTAAGATATTTGAGGTAATATTTGACATTTTATACTTAAAAAAACCGACCCAGTCAATGACACTTTGTAAATAGCGTTGTCATTTTCGTATAACTTTCTTATAAATCTAATAAGATTATATAACAACATTAAAATATAATTAATTTTACCATGATTATTAAAAAATACCTATCCGATCAAAAAGAGAAAAAAAATGAATTATGATGTTCCTCAAATTAGCTAACTTTTGTGATAGCTAATTTTTAAACTCACAATACTTGTAGGACATGCTCTGCTTTATGTTTTTATTCTCCTTTAGAAGACATAAATCCTAAAGTAACATAAAATCTGAAAGGAATATTTGAATTGTTGGTTGTATTATTGCTCAAACTGGCTTTTAAAGGCTGCTTTTTGAACAATGTTAGTTTTTTTTTCTACTGTATTTAATACTTTTATTTTGCTCCATATCATAGACCATACGTATAAGCATTTGCTGCTTTTTACATCAATGTTGTTCAGAGAGAGGAGTTTGAGCTTTAAGAGTTTCTGCTTAATCCACAGAAAATGGTGAACATCAAGAACACACTCATATAAAAAGGTCATGAATCAATTCAGGCTGGAAGTTAAACGATGATTCTTAACCATAGGAGGAGAAAAATTCTGAAACTCCTTCTGTTGTGTGTAGTAATGACAAGTGGTATCACTACATTTAAGATGAAAGCTTGATCAATTTGGGATTATCTGATATAGTCATGATGACAAAAGGCTGGACTCTTTCACTTTTTATAGACCCTTCAGTCCCATATTTCTAAATCCAAGATATATTAAAATACCAAGAATTTTTGCTTTTCACTACATTTGTTGACACTTTGAGGAATGTTTTATGTAATATAATAGTTTCTCATTATTTTAATTCTGGTTTATGGGAGATTGGATATTCAGCCCCTCATGTAGTGTACTTTATGCCAACAGATGACTATATTGAATTACTGCATAAATGGGAAAAGACATTCCTGATAAATATATATGTATATTTGTGTGACTGGCAAACATTATGAAAGGGTTACTGCACAGTCAGCACATGAGCTGGCTTCAGCTTGTTGACTAAGAAAATCCTAGTGTCTTCAACATAGAGCAAGAATTGTTTGTATTTTAATACTCCATTATGTTCAGAAATAATGTAAGGGCAGCTCTGCAATGAGAGATTTAATCTGCACAGCATATGAAGTGACCAAATGGAGCCTTTTCAGTACAGTAATACCTCTAACTGGGAGATGCAGTGAGCATTGATGTAGTGCCCTTTCCACATCTCATGTTTATTCTGAGACTTCAATGATATGAACCAGAACTTTTTTTACTTCTGTCAGGTTGTTTACAAACTTCTTACCCGACTCAATTTCTTTTCTTTCCATGAAATGTCGCGAATTGTGTGACAGGAACATATATACCCTTTGTTGGAATTTAGCAGCGTGTATGATTAAATTGAGACAGTTTTATTGAACTATGTAATCAAGAAACTTCTAATCAGTCTTTGATCTTACTAAATTGTGTACTTTCCAGCCTGTGGAACCTGGCACCACATGTTCCATGAGTGCATGTTGTAGTTTCAGTTTAAATCCCAGTGGCTGGTGAGCTGCGATTAGCTCTATAACCCAGCAAAAGAGAATTTGCTATTCACGCTTTCCAAGTAGATTTATGTAGTCTGTCAAAGAACAAATAGATTACCAAGGGATTTGATGTGGCATTTACTGCTAATGAACCCTTACTTCTGCAACAGCAGAACAAAAGAAAGTATTCTTTCAGATGCTGTTGGAAATAAAAGGATATTGTGACAGTGAATTTTGGACAGGGACTCTTCTGCACTCCCAAGTAACTGCACTTTGTGGAGGACAGCCACTGAGGCTTCATTTTCCCACCAGCCTAAACTGCCAGGCAGTTGATCCCATTTGTGAATGCCCATTTCCAGTTACACAGTCCTGCCCCATCTCCTGTGCTAAAGTGGTGCTTGTCTCACCCATACTGAGCTGTTTTATCTCACCAAGTTAACTGAAAATATTTGGAGGGTGGAAGGAGCGAAAGTCACATCTGTTTTCTGTCAGCAGTTTCAGGCTGTGGTTTGAGGCTGTGGTTAAATCAATCTAATAGCCAAGTGCTGCAACGAGAACAGATCCATCCCTCTTGCAGCTTGGACTAGCTCACCTTGAACTTTGAGCTTTAATGCAGGTGTAAAGAAAGCAGCAACAGCAGCAGCAAGTGGGTGGGATAAGACCATCCATTTCAATGACAGCCATTAAAGCGGCTTACAGTCAGGTGATGTCAAACTATTCCTTCAGTACATGCTGCTCATTTTTTTTTTTACATTTGTTTGGCATGTGTGGGTACACCAGGAGCTCTGTCATATACCAGTGTAATACTGGTGCTTTGATGCCAGCCCCGTCAGTAGACAGGATTCTGAAATGTGTTGGGAGGCAGTGACCAATATTTCTTGCAGCGTTCACTGTTTTGCAGAACAACAAAGCAAAGGAAATAAGAGGCTCGCTTGCTTTTTATCCAGTCTTAACTTGTATTAGTAATGCATCTTTTAATGAGACACAATATGCAGTAGTTCATTTTAAGCAAATTATAAATCTCAGAAAGAAAACGTCATCTGACATAAGTAAATACTACTGTTAAAGTAAAGAAACTTCAAGTGGTGTATTTGAGAAAATGTTGTAGTTAATGACCTGGTTTTTTAAAAGGAAGTTTTTCAAATAAGAGGAAAATAAGTTATATATTACTGTCTGCTGTATAACAATGAAGTTATTTTTTTTAAAGCTGTTAAGTGAAAATTTCTTTTGAGATATTTGAGAAGAGAGTAATTTTCTATTTATAGTAGGACTTCAGAAAACATCTCTCAGAAGAGTGAAAACAAATTACTGTTTTCCAGAGATGTGCAAAATGTAAACTCCAAAAAGCAAATGTCTAATAAATAGACAAATTTCAAAAAGGCAAAAGAGGCTTACCTCTGCTTGTAGAAAATACTGAAACAAATCCTACTCGGAACAGATTTCTTTCTACTTGTGCTGGTATGAATGCAGAAATAACTATTCTCGTTATTCTAAAGCAAAATTGATAGCAGTTAAATTGTAAGACCTTGCAAAACTTTAAATTTCAGAACTTCAGTGTTAATACCTGTGCTGAGAGGAAAGGAAAAACAATTCTATAGAAATTTCATTCCATATATTTGTTCTTGTAAAATCATGTTTGAAGTATTGCTATTTAGTTGCAGTGTGGGCTGAGGGATCACTATCTCAGGAGGTCAGAAAAGTCGCAGACGATTACACAAAGAAAGAATTTTTAAAGATTGCTAAACATTTTGCAGAGGATCCAAATACGATCTTTTAAGAGAATAAAGTGACTTTTAAAATTTTTAATGGTTACCATGTTTTGCAGTTTCCTTAATTGAATATTTGTGGGTTTATGCTCCATGAATGTCAACCAACGGTGGCTGAAGATAGCTCTAACAGAGTATCC